TCATAGCACGTGCCTGGTTCTCAAACACATCAAAATAGATGTCGAAGTCACTTTCAAAAAAATTAGGAACCATTGATGCAGCTTTCTGCACATTAAATGTGTCCTGTGATCTATCAGTCTGTTGTCTTCCCAGACGAACATTTTCTCTCTGGAAATCTTCTTCGTTCAATTTCCTCTGTGCCTCTATTTGTGCAGTCTGCAACATAATGAGGTGTTCAAACCTCTCAAACTGTTCCTGAGAGATAGGACCAGTGGGTAATGGAGGAGTAAGGAATCTAACGAATGAGTCTGGACGGTCCTTGGGTCAGGCACCTTGTCCAGGCGTCTCTAGAGAGTCTAGATCTGGTCTAGGATAAGTAGATACAGGTGTAGTATACACGGTACTAGCATGAGGCTGAGTCATACTACCAGCTACACTCTGTACTATTGTGTCAGTGAGGCGGGAAGGCGTGAGCGAGAACAAAATTTCACTAGGCTCAGACACTTCCGCCATAGTTGCTCTTTCTTCTAAGTAATCAAATAGAGTCATACTTCCTAATTGTGACACTAGGCTTTCTGAATCTGAATCATAATCAGACATCTCTGTATGAGCAGGAAACAGTATATCTTTAATTAACGCTTTGACAGTTTCTGCGGTGTAATTCCTGTTATACGTCACACCGAGATATTTGGCTACTCGCCAACACGTCTGAAGTTTTAATGTACTTAACTCAGACAAAGTCAGAGTATCAATTAAACTGTTTCACTTTGGCATACATCACGAAAATAAATGTACTACGAGAGTGTGATTAAGGGAAACTATAATCCTAATAGGAATTTTAGTGTTGGTTGTCTTAGAGCTAGAACTCATAAACAGTATTTCCATCTCCTTGGATCAAGAGACTCAGTAAGTACATCCACCTGGTATGTTGTACAAGACTAAACTCAAAGTCTTCAGATTAGGAAAGTACTCAAAGTGTTTGATCATAGAGTTTCTAGTATGTCAAGCTGGACAATTTCTCCAACACCTTGGATCAAGAGCCTCCCGGACAGGCCCCCATTTGTTACAAAAAACGCGATTTCTAAAAAGCTTAGAGATCTCCAGTGAATACTAGAAAGGACTGCCCGTCTAGCATCCAGCCTGCTACTGGGTTTTCGTAACAATTAGTCAGTATCCTTGTCCAATTATCCATTAGAATTCAATAAGAATTAATAATGCTTCAGGATTACAACTGGTAGGTTACTAACTAGAGAAATTAAAATTTTAAAAAATTATTAAGTATAGTCTAGAGGTATATTATCAAATTAAATTAATCAATTCATCAATTAATCAACCCATTCAGGGGTTGCAACATACATATATTTACTTCCTCCCACTTCGGGTCATCATATGACTGACCCGCGTCGGGAAACACTTGTCTTGTTTCCTGACAAACCTTACCTAACCTAACCTAATTTCCTCTCTGGTGTTCACCTGCTGATGATAGCAGCAGTTATCATCCTCCCTCCCCCGCTGTACTCCCTGCTGTCCTCCCTGCTGCCTGCTTCAACACCAAGTCTGTGGTTAAGCACACAAGCAGTCACATTTTATTATCGAAACGTTTCGGTCCTGAGATTTTGTTCACCAATTCTCAGGACCGAAACGTATCTATGGTGAAACGTCGCAAATAATCACATAGCAGGTTTCCACCAAACCAGGCCTCCTATATGACATCCTAGTCGGTAACGCAAGGCAAGCCACGGTACGGGTGGGGACTAAACTCGCGGCGTGAGTCATAAAACTCCAGGTCAGTGCGTAAGCCACCAGGATAGGGGCTTACGCACTGGCTTGGAGTTTTACGACTCACTCATCGTGAGTTCAGTCCTCACCCGTACCGTGGTTTGTTTGCAGTCGTATCGTTACGATTTCGTGAGTCATTAGTCATTCAGGCTGTTGGTGCTCATGGCACACATTCCAAAGTGCACACAGCTCTGCTGATCATGAATTATTTTAACGAATTTATCGAGCTGTATCATATACTGTAGCTATGAGAGTGTAATTCCTCTTATACCAGAAGGAAGAGTTGAATCCTCCTGAAGCACTTAGATTTAATTTTATTTACTGTGCACCTTGCTCTCACGAGGAGTAATTTCAGAATGCAGGGTTGACATCAGTCACTCCAAGACTGTCCTGGAGAAAATTATGATTTATCTTACTTGGATCTTTTTCAGGAAGACACTAGAGGAGAATAGTGTTGTTACATGCACTGTGTTGGAATAGTGTGGTAGAGATAATGTTGTTACCTATACTGTGTGTTGTATGTTGTAGTAGTGTACGAGACAATGTTACCAAACCTGTGACGGTGTAGTGTACGAGACAACCAACACTGTGTGACGGTGTAGTGTACAAGACAACCAACAACTGTGTGACGGTGTAGTGTACAAGACAGTGTTACCAACACTGTGTGACGGTGTAGTGTACGAGACAACCAACACTGTGTGACGGTGTAGTGTACAAGACAATCAAAACTGTGTGACGGTGTAGTGTACAAGACAACCAACACTGTGTGACGGTGTAGTGTACAAGACACAGTGTTACCAACACTGTGTGACGGTGTAGTGTACAAGACAACCAACACTGTGTGACGGTGTAGTGTACAAGACAACCAACACTGTGTGACGGTGTAGTGTACAAGACAACCAACACTGTGTGACGGTGTAGTGTACAAGACAACCAACACTGTGTGACGGTGTAGTGTACAAGACACAGTGTTACCAACACTGTGTGACGGTGTAGTGTACAAGACAACCAACACTGTGTGACGGTGTAGTGTACAAGACAACCAACACTGTGTGACGGTGTAGTGTACAAGACAACCAACACTGTGTGACGGTGTAGTGTACGAGACAACCAACACTGTGTGACGGTGTAGTGTACGAGACAACCAACACTGTGTGACGGTGTAGTGTACAAGACAATCAAAACTGTGTGACGGTGTAGTGTACGAGACAACCAACACTGTGTGACGGTGTAGTGTACAAGACAACCAACACTGTGTGACGGTGTAGTGTACAAGACAACCAACACTGTGTGACGGTGTAGTGTACAAGACACAGTGTTACCAACACTGTGTGACGGTGTAGTGTACAAGACAACCAACACTGTGTGACGGTGTAGTGTACAAGACATAATGTTACCAACACTGTGTGACGGTGTAGTGTACAAGACACAGTGTTACCAACACTGTGTGACGGTGAGTGTACAAGACAACAAATGTTACGGTGTAGTGTACAAGACAACCAACACTGTGTGACGGTGTAGTGTACAAGACAACCAACACTGTGTGACGGTGTAGTGTACAAGACACAGTGTTACCAACACTGTGTGACGGTGTAGTGTACAAGACAACCAACACTGTGTGACGGTGTAGTGTACAAGACACAGTGTTACCAACACTGTGTGACGGTGTAGTGTACAAGACAACCAACACTGTGTGACGGTGTAGTGTACAGAGAAACCAACACTGTGTGACGGTTGTAGTGTACAGACACAGTGTTACCAACGACTGTGTGACGGTGTAGTGTACAGACAACAACATGTGTGACGGTGTAGTGTACAGACAACAACCTGTGTGACGGTGTAGTGTACAAGACAACAACCTGTGTGACGGTTGTAGTGTACAAGACACAGTGTTACCAACACTGGGACGTGTAGTGTCAAGACAACAACATGTGTCGGTTGTAGTGTACAAGACAACCAACACTGTGTGACGGTGTAGTATAAGACAACACAAATTGACGTGTGTGAAGACAACAACATGTGTGCCCGGTGTAGATGTACAGACAATCAAACTGTGTGACGGTGTATGTAGGACAATCCAACACTGTGTGACGGTGTAGTGTACAAGCAACCATCACTGTGTGACGTGTAGTGTACAGACAACAACACTGTGTGACGTGTAGTGTACCATGAGTAATGTTACTAACACCTGCGTGACGGTGTAGTGTACGAGACACCAACACTGTGAGTACCCAGTTTGTAGTGTACAAGAAACCAACACTGTGTGACGGTGTAGTGCTACAAGACGTACTTACAACAATCGTGTGACGTGTAGTTCTTATCTAGACAACCAACACTGTGTGACGGTGTAGTGTACAAGAGTAATGTTACCAACAATGTGTGACGGTTGTAGTGTCGAGACAACCAACACGTGTGACGGTGTTAGTGTACAAGACGTAATGTACCAAACAATGTGTGACGGTTTGTAGTGTACGAGACACAACACTGTGTGACGGTGTAGTGTACGAGACAACCAACACTGTGTGACGTGTGTTAGTGTACCCCAAAAACAACCCAACACTGTGTGCGTGTAGTGTACGAGACAACCAACACTGTTGTGACGGTGTGAGTGTACAAGACAACCAACACTGATGTGACGGTGTAGTGTGCAGGCAACCAACACTGTGTGACGGTTTTGTAGTGTACAAGACAACCAACACTGTGTGACGGTGTAGTGTGCAAGGCAACCAACATGTGTGACGGTGTAGTGTAAAAAGACAACCAACACTGTGTGACGGTTTTAGTGTTTCAAGGCAACCAAACACTGTGTGACGGTGTAGTGTACAAGACAACCAACACTGTGTGACGGTGTTTTGTGTACAAGACAACCAACACTGTGTGCGGTGTAGTGTCAAGACATCCAAAAACTGTGTGGACGGTGTGTGTGTACAAGACAGTGTTAACAACACTGTGTGAGGTGTAGTGTACAAGACACCAACACTGTGTGACGGTGTAGTGTACAAGACATAATGTTACCAACACTGTGTGACGGTGTAGTGTACGAGACAACCAACACTGTGTGACGGTGTAGTGTACGAGACAACCAACACTGTGTGACGGTGTAGTGTACAAGACACAGTGTTATCAACGCTGTGTGACGGTGTAGTGTACAAGACACAGTGTTATCAACGCTGTGTGACGGTGTAGTGTACAAGACACAGTGTTACCAACACAATAATAACAGTATTGTCTTGGGTTGCAGATTAAGACGTACGAGAAGATAGAAAACAAAGAGGAGAGAAGAAAAGTTGCCCGGGAGATATACGACAACTTTATTATGAAGGAACTCTTATCTAACACCCACGTGAGTATCCCTCAGTCTCTTATCTAACACCCACGTGAGTATCCCTCAGTCTCTTATCTAACACCCACGTGAGTATCCCTCAGTCTCTTATCTAACACCCACGTGAGTATCCCTCAGTCTCTTATCTAACACCCACGTGAGTATCCCTCAGTCTCTTATCTAACACCCACGTGAGTATCCCTTAGTCTCTTATCTAACACCCACGTGAGTATCCCTTAGTCTCTTATCTAACACCCACGTGAGTATCCCTTAGTCTCTTATCTAACACCCACGTGAGTATCACTTAGTCTCTTATCTAACACCCACGTGAGTATCCCTTAGTCTCTTATCTAACACGCACGTGAGTATCCCTCAGTCTCTTATCTAACACCCACGTAAGTATCCCTTAGTCTCTTATCTAACACCCACGTGAGTATCCCTCAGTCTCTTATCTAACACCCACGTGTGTATCCCTCAGTCTCTTATCTAACACCCACGTGAGTATCCCTCAGTCTCTTATCTAACACCCACGTGAGTATCCCTCAGTCTCTTATCTAACACTCACGTGAGTATCCCTCAGTCTATCTAACACTCACGTGAGTATCCCTCAGTCTCTTATCTAACACCCACGTGAGTATCCCTTAGTCTCTTATCTAACACCCACGTGAGTATCCCTTAGTCTCTTATCTAACACCCACGTGAGTATCCCTCAGTCTAACACGCACCTGAGTATCCCTCAGTCTCTTATCTAACACGCACGTGAGTATCCCTCAGTCTCTTATCTAACACCCACGTGAGTATCCCTCAGTCTCTTATCTAACACCCACGTGAGTATTCCTCAGTCTCTTATCTAACGCCCACGTGAGTATTCCTCAGTTTCTTATCTAACACGCACATGAGTATCCCTCAGTCTATCTAACACCCACGTGAGTATCCCTCAGTCTAATCTAACACCCACGTGAGTATCCCTCAGTCTCTTATCTAACACCCACGTGAGTATCCATCAGTCTCTTATCTAACACTCACGTGAGTATCCCTCAGTCTCTTATCTAACACCCACGTGAGTATCCCTCAGTCTCTTATCTAACACCCACGTGAGTATCCCTCAGTCTAACACGCACGTGAGTATCCCTCAGTCTCTTATCTAACACGCACGTGAGTATCCCTCAGTCTCTTATCTAACACTCACGTGAGTATCCCTCAGTCTCTTATCTAACACCCACGTGAGTATCCCTCAGTTTCTTATCTAACACCACGTGAGTATCCCTCAGTCTCTTATCTAACACCCACGTGAGTATCCCTCACTCTTATCTAACACGCACGTGAGTATCCCTCAGTCTCTTATCTAACACCCACGTGAGTATCCCTCAGTCTCTTATCTAACACCCACGTGAGTATCCCTTAGTCTCTTATCTAACACGCACGTGAGTATTCCTCAGTCTCTTATCTAACACCCACGTGAGTATCCCTCAGTCTCTTATCTAACACCCACGTGAGTATCCCTCAATCTCTTATCTAACACCCACGTGAGTATCCCTTAGTCTCTTATCTAACACGCACGTGAGTATCCCTCAGTCTCTTATCTAACACCCACGTGAGTATCCCTTAGTCTCTTATATAACACGCACGTGAGAATCCCTCAGTCTCTTATCTAACACCCACGTGAGTATCCCTCAATCTCTTATCTAACGTGAAAGTTACTCGAGAAATAACTTCTTACAATGCACTGATTACTGTCAACTAGGATGGGATCACAATCTGAAACACAAGGGACAACAACAACACTCAAGTGAGCACACTAGCCACAGAAACGTCTTTCTGCAACGGCTTGTGGCATCAGCAAGAGATGGCATAACTCGTTGCAAGTAAAGTTCTTCTCAAAGCGTCCCCTGGGAAGGAACGAGTACTTGAGTAAGTCGCCATCGCAAGGATAGTAGTCTCAGCACTATCCTGCATGCATGATATTGTGGCTGGAGTCCAGACAGGAGTGACAGTATTACTAGTGCCTGATCGCTCGGCTACGTTAATAAGTAATTCACGGATCTATAGGAACTTAATCTGAACTTCACATTTCGCAGCACTTTAACAAATCTCAGATACAAGCTGTGAGAACAAACACATTGCTCAGGGGCTAGGTATTGTCTTTCAATCAGTAAGGGAATATTGGTACCGTGGACTGATTCATATTGACTTTGACTGGCATGATGCACTAAGTGAACATTCAAAAGTGACTGGGACATCTTCTCAGTGAACTTACTGAAGGACATAAGGCAAAAAAAATAGAAAGAATGACACAGTAAGCTTAAATGGGAAGAAAATGCTTAACTATTCTGCATAAGTAACTAAAAAATTGACAGGTCACACAGTAAGCAAAGAAACTCACACAATAAAAATACTCAACTTAACAAATAACACTTTGAAAATCAAGAGAACTTGTACTTTACTCAAATCTGCTGATTTGCTCAACTTTTACTTTAAATTGAATGAATGGCACAGTGAGTTGTCTTTACTTTCAATGCAACAGGGAAACACACAGTAAAATGATAAAATGGACTCAATAAAGCTTGTGCAAAAATAAAACAAACTGGGACACAATTTGCTGAAATAAAATAAAATGGCACACAAAGAATAAAATATTATGCACAGAACAGAGCATATGAAACTGAACTGAAATAAACTGTAGCAATATTACAAATGACAATTGCACAACACTGCATAAAATCTCTGCAAGAAAAACTTTAATGGCAACACAATCTTTGCACAAGAATTATTGCAAAATGAGTCAATGTGCAATCATAAAAAATTATTACACACACAAGAAAAGAAATATATCAAGGAATGAGCTGAGGGAACAATTTGACTCTTAACTGCACTCAAGCAACACTTAACAAGCAAAAGAACAATTTACTCTAAAAGAACTTAAAAATTGCACTAAGAGTGAATTTGTTCAATGAAACATGAAAAATAATAGGTGCTAAAACACAGAACAAAAAGTTTGAACACTTACAGTGATGCAGAACACAACACATCAACATTAAACATTAGAATTTTCTTGCAATGAAACTTGATGTGTGAAAAATTTTGTAAAAATGATTTCTTGCTTGCACAAAATAATGGCACTATTGTCTGTGGAAATAAGAAAAAATAGACACTGGTAAATGAAAAGAATATGAACACAAGAATGTTCAACACACAGAGAACAAAACAAAAGAATACACAAATGCTGGGATGAAAGAAATATATATAACTGAGACAACACTGAGTTGTGATGCAGAATTAACTAAATAAATTTATGAATTACTCCACTAAATCACTGAGAGCACAAGGTGATTCTGAAGTGTAAACACAAGTTCTATACTGCTCATATGTTGCACACAAAAGGGAAACAAAAACACTAGTTACTTCAAGTGTATAAAAGACACACAACACAATAGACATAAGATTAATGCACGAAAATTAACACTGAATTAAGGAGATTATCAAATTATTGCAATCAGTATATGATAAACACTGGTCTAATCAAGAGTCACTGAATGTCACTAAGAAAATCACTGGAACACAAAAAAAATGTCTCAACACTCGCAAATGTCTCTATGAAAAAAAATATTCTTATCGCTGTAACGACTTGGTGTAGAATGAGGTAGATGGTAGTGGAGAGAAAGAGGATTGTTTATATCGTCTTGCTGCTGTCCTCTGCCACGTGATCGTAGAATTGCACTTACATCGCGACGACACACAAGGAGGCTTTCAACGGTGGCGCGAAACCCACACTCTAGCTCTTGACCCCCTATGTGGTCCTTAAAATATGGTGCTACAACCTTTAGTAGTGCGCCAAAACACTGATAGAGGTTGGGTGATTTACACAACACAGGAGTGTGGTTGGGTTTGTGGGTAAACAGGGCTAAGACCGGGCAATGGTGAGACATGTGGTGAGTGGGTGGTTGGGCCTATGGGTTGAACGGCGTAAGCCTCACTGAGGACAGCCACCTGTCGCGAAGATATTCTAAGCTGGCTAGCTTAAAATACCCCCACAAAATTACCACAACAACACAAGGATGAAAAAGAGCACTCAGAATTGCTTGGAGCTTGAATCACAAGCGATGAAGACTACTCCGTGGCTTGCTTGAGTACTGGGGTAAGACATTTGGGTTAGTTGCTAGCTAGCTTATCTTAACCCTTCACACAGAATTAGCTTGATACTTCACACGAAGAGCACAGCAGGGGTAGAAGCTGGCTTGGCAGGAAAAGGGAACTGGATGGAGTAGACTAGGCTCGACTGGGCTCCTCACCACAGACTGGAGCTGGCTTATTTTGAAAAACTCAGGTCAACCCCTCGGGAGTGATGCAAATAAGCAGATAAACACTAATACAAAGAGACTGACCAGTGAATGGTGTAGAAGCTGGTAGGAGCTTGGGCAGGAGAACTGGCTGAGATAGCTGGCTGGCGTTAACCTTCTCGGTAGGCCTACTCACAAGATGGCAGGCTAGGTCGAAATTTATCTCCAGAAATCTCTGTAATCGTCAGAATTACAGGCCCTCCGCTGCCACCATTTATCGTAGGGGTTCTTAAATGGAGATATCGAGGGTTGAAGGTAGACACACTTGTTGGATGGTAACGATATATTGTCAGACTATGATGATGAGAAATGGAGCCCAGCCTCTGCCTGTCCTAGCCTGTGTCAAAACGCCGACTGAGACCGGGGCAGAGGTACGAACTTACACATGCGCATCTCGTGACGTCACACAGTCACTCGGCCTAAGGGGTCTTCTATCTAAAGCACATGGATGATACTATATGCTATGCTATATAACACAGGGATCAGCAACTATGCTGACACCTCAATCTCTTATCTAACACCCTCGTGAGTATCCCTCGGTCTCTTATCTAACACCCACGTGAGTATCCCTCAATCTCTTGTCTAACACCCACGTGAGTATCCCTCAGTCTCATACATAACACAAACGTGAGTATCACTCAGTCTCATACCTAACACACACATGAGTATCCTTCAGGCTCATAC